GCTTCGGCAGGAGGGTTGGACTAGATGACCCACAGAGGTCCCTTCCAACCCCTACTATAAAAAAAAACATGTAGATACGTAATTTGTCTTAGAGTATAATATGAGAAAATAGGGGAACAGGTTTTTAACAGACTTTTTTGTCCCTTGTAATGGGAATGTGTTTTACACAGTTTACCTTTCCGTTCAATTATGTGGATAAAAGAAGGGACAACTCCTACGATTATTTAAGTTTGCTTGGTGTAAGGGATATGCATCCTTTTTCTGTATCATGTAGATACGTAATTTGTCTTAGAGTATAATATGAGAAAATAGGGGAACAGGTTTTTAACAGACTTTTTTGTCCCTTGTAATGGGAATGTGTTTTACACAGTTTACCTTTCCGTTCAATTATGTGGATAAAAGAAGGGACAACTCCTACGATTATTTAAGTTTGCTTGGTGTAAGGGATATGCATCCTTTTTCTGTATCATCACGGGCTCGCTGATAAGAATCAAATCTTCATCAAAATCTTCTGTTGCTGTTTTGTTAGGAATTATTCATTTGAAATCTGCTCTGTGCTGCCTATAGATATAGTAAACCAGATGTATGAGACCTGTAATAGTTCTTGGGGTTAGCGTATCTCCAAAGGTTTTAGTGGGAGATCACTAAAATCCATATAGGCAGAAGTCACTAGGATTTTGAGAATATGTTTATTTCTTAAGATGCCTAGTCCTAACCAATCTAGCAGCTCATGGTATTTGGAGAATGAATTGGCATCAACTGTTCCAAGTGAATGTCAGTGAGGTACAGAACTTGATCTCTCGCGGAGGAAGAAAAATAGCCATGCTAAAACTAGAGCAGGAAATGTTGGCAAGCACACTTGCATTTTCAGAAGTTTGTTTTTAAAGAGTATGGTTTGCCTAATGCACCTGCCTATATGCAAAGATAAGCTCTAATGTTTTCAGACGAACTTGTTTTAGAGCCTAAACTTCTTTCTTTGGTCTCCCTAGATGTGCTCTTGCATATCCTGTCATTCTGTTATAATGGCTAACTAGTCGTTAAATCACAGAAAGCCCTTACTTTTGATCAAGAGAGGCATTGCAGGCAACAAGCATCCAAGTGGAATATGGAGTATTGTCTCTGTGCTGAAGCTCTGTGATGAACTAACTGAAGGAGTAGGGATTTGTGTTGGTTTAAACAGCTTCCCCCGAGTCTTTTCCTTCCCACCCTCCAACAAATTAAAAGCGTGTAGTAGATGTAGTAGTGGTCAGGCAAAAAGGGATTTATTGACTTCCAACGGGCTATGTAACTTGCTCCTGGCTTCATAGACTACAATTAAAGCAATTACCACACATAGACTGACAACCTCTGCACCATATCAAACCATCATCTGCACACAGTTGGTTTTTTTGGTGATGTTTGCTTTTTTGGGGGGGGAATAAATATTTGAAGTGTGGATATTCTCTGGAAACACAGCCTTGTCTATAAACCAAAACGTCTTCCGCTAGTCTTGCAAAATTTGTTTGGCTCTAAACTGAACTGAATGCCCTCTGGCTTTTTACAGTTGAAATAGGAATCAAGAATTGATGATAAACGTTGCACTAGCAGGCATTTGCTCTCCTACATACATATTGGATTTGAGGCACTAGTAATAAGAGCAAATGTTTCTCTGGCAGTGAAAAAGCACATTTCTCTTTTTAAACCACATGGAGAAGAAGCTGCTTAAGCAAAAAAGTTTATGAACATACTTATGTGGCTAAGAGTTATGTGAGTTTCTCTGTAGCAAAGGCTCTTTGTGTTTCCTACTCATTGTAAGGAAATTGTTAGAAAGTTTGTTATCTAAAGACAAAGTAGGTTACACTCACCCTAGCTGACAGCAGTTACTTTGTTTTACAGAATATCTTACTGCCTGAATGCTTCTACTCCTTTTTTGACTTGCGGAAAGAGTTCAAGAAGTGTTGCCCTGACTCACCTGATGTTAGCAAACTCGATGTTGCGGCCATGACAGAATGTATCCTTTTAACAGTGATGGTGTCTACTGCTGTTACAGCCTTGGCAGAACTTTAGGACAGAGATGCGTGAGTAATACTTGCAACACATGTTTTGGGGTGGTATAACTTTAATGAGTGACTCGGAGCTGTACTGAGCTTTCTCACAAAGATAAAAACATAGGAGAATGCACACTCCTGTGGGGAAAAATCCTGTATTTCTTCTTCATTTCTGTACATTTTCTTTACTTCCTTTATAGTTTTGTCTCTTTAAACTTTAGTGTAACTGGCACATTTATTCAAGTTGCTGATAGGAATCCTAGTATTAAAGTTGTGAGGTTGCTTGTTGCATCAGTTAGATTTTTATTTTATTTTTAGGTAAGGATGAATGTTGGGCGACCATCTTAATTTTTAGGAGGGGGAATGATTATTCTTGATGTGAAGTTGTAGCAAATCCTTGATTTGGGAGTGAACCTAAGGCAGGAATGTTTTTGGCACACATGGTATTCAGTCTCATGGAGGCGGTATGTGTTACATGTTGCAAGGTGAGGCTGGGCTGGCAGTAAGATAGTAATGTGTTTCCATTTTCAGTGATTGGGATGTCTAAAATTACTTTTTGAATAGTGTTACATGGTCTGTAACATAGTCCCATCTGGCTCTTTACTAGTCTTTGCTTGATTTTGTTTGCATGCCACATACAGTTACCAGAGCCGAAACTGGGGCTGTGAATTATTTGGCTGTGCCTTTCTCCTTGCTCCCCTCTTACTGCAGGTGCCAGTCCTTGTTTCAAATGCACTCTCAGAAGTGGAAAACACTTGACTTCCCTACTGACCTATTGAAGCAGTGACCACAAAAGCTGTCTAGCAAGGAGGGATCAAGGAATTTGAGAGTATTTTTTTCAATATCTCTTTATTTTTAATAACTTTTTCCTCTGGCTAGCTTATTGTGTCTGTAGAGTAGTTACCATTAAGAGCTGGTATTTTTCAGACTCAAAAGTCTGTGGCTTCTCAATTGTTTTGGCCTTTCACTGCAGGACTAGTACCTGGGCTTTGTACCTGTGTTGGGGCGCATAAAATATCTCTGTGTGGGGGTTTTTTTTGGGGGTTTTTTTGTGTGTGTGTTTTAACCATAAGATTGAATACTGGAGGCTGTCTGCTCTGCCTTGCCATCTGTAAATTAAGATTAATCTCACCTAGTGAAGGGTCAGAAATTACTTCTCTCCTTACTCTGAAGCAAGGTGGTACACTTAGTGTAGGAGTGACTTTGTTTTGTTTTTTTATGTAGAAAAACAAAATAAATGCTTATGTTACATCGTCTGGAAGCTGGATGACGGATACTTCTTAAATTTATGATCAAAAAATTAATACATTGTTTAGGGATGCTTTGACATGAGCTGGAGAAGTTAAAGACAATGAGCTACTTGGGCTGTTTTGGAGAGATACCTTTGCCTTCTCGTGTGAATGTCTGGCGTACATCTTGCCACTGTGGAAACAGTTGTATGACTGCAGCCACCTTGGAGCATCACTGGTCAGCTAAGGCACTGTGACTGACTGTGCACTTTCTGCCTGCTGGGATGGATGAGCAGACCACCCTGTGTTACCTGACAGTCAGGAAGCCCCTTTTTAAAAAGTCAGCACCATCTGAGAGTGGTTTTGGCAATTGCCAGCAGTATTTCCTCCACGTTCCTAGAGGCTTGGTCAGTCTATCCACATGCTCTGAACTTGTCTGAATTCTGGATCTGATATGCTGCTTAAGGTGTATAAACCTAAACAACTTCATTCTGTTTTTATATTAATCTTTGTGGTTTGTCTTGTTTTGTAGCTGCTGATGGTCTTTTTTGTAAACTTGTTATGTTTATGCAACATGGCTGAAATTAACTGCCTCTGCCCTCTACTGCTTGAGTGTTGGGGGTGGAGGATGCAGAGACCATAATGATGAAATAATTTTTGTTTTCCTTTTTATTGACAAATATGATAATTTTCTTTCTCTTCACCTTGCTGAAATGGACCAACTTAGTCTCCTTGGTGTCAGAAACTGTGTTAGTTAATTGCATTTGGAGAGTTTGGATGTAGTGTAGTGCTTGTAATAAAAAAAAAATGTTGAAGCAGGTGGTAAGTCTAAAGACTAGTTCAAACAGTTACGTGCAGAGATTTTTTCCTTCTTCACATAAGTGAGACAGTTACTTTCCTCCTGGGACAGTTATGTAGCAAAGAAAAGAAAATGTCCAAATGACAAGTAACTTGTATTTGAAGTGGATATGCTGGGATGGGGGACACAAAAAGAATTTAAAGTGGCGTACATTGAAACAAAGTTGCAGATTAGTGCACAGAACCTGACCAAGCTCGTGTTACCCTTGTAGGAAGCTCAAATCTTCCACCCCATAGCTAAAAGGGCTGCATTCGTAGAATATTCAATCAATTGTGCCACACAAACTATACTGGGCCAGGTTTGTTAGCATTTGGTGGGGAAAGAAGGTTTTGGGTTAGGAGTAGGGTACTGACTAGACATGCAGAAGACCTGCATTAACAAACTAGTAGGAGCAGGAGTAGAATGTTTTTTGGGTGCATACCTTCATGTGCTTACATCTCCACTTACCTGTGTGTGAGATGGTTGTGATCAGTGAGAGGAAACTTGTGTGATACGAAAGGTTTAGGGGAGAGCTGGGTGTTATTAGGACTCTTCCAAATGCTTCTGTTTTGATGGGTAGCAGTTGATTAAACAACAAATTACAGGCAAATGGAGAATGTACTCTATTGCTCCCAACAGACAGGGGGAATAATTTCCTGCTGCACAGTCAATCAAGATATGTATTCCAGTGGATAACACACTGGATAGTTGGTGCTTGGCTATGTATTTCTTGCAGACAAGGCAAGCACAATCTTGAAAAAGGAACATAGTGATATTAAACTGAATAACTGGCTGGGTTCTTATTCCTTCAGAAAGTACTTTTGGGACTTACTCTTTCAGCAAACTCCTTGAAATTGTGTACAGCAGTGAAACCATTCCAAATGCAAGAGCTCAGGGGAAAGCTCTACATTCCCCCCAATTATAAATTTCATATGCAAACAACCACTGATTTCTTTTAATGCAAGAGAAGGAAATGTTTAAAATGCCATGGAATTTGAGAAACTGAGGAAGAACTGAGACTAGTTGTAACTATTATCTCTGAGTGCTACTGCTGCCTAACTTATGGTCTCAAAACAGTTTTTAGTGCAGGAGACAGTCTTCTGGCAAACTTTCTTTAATCAGTATTGTGTAAGAGTAGTGACAGCAGGACAATTATGAGAAATTTCAAGTAACAAAAAGAACCTGAGAGAAGTGATCATGTTCTGGCAGAGAAAGGAACTCAGGTCTGTTGAAATCCTTTTTTTTTTTTTTTTTTTAAACGTGTATAAGTATACAAAAGGAGCAGGGTTGTTCTTGCACCCTCTGTACCTCCCATATGGGCTGCACTTCTTGATTTGCAAAGCTTGCTGAGCCAGTTTTCACCGCTGTGAGTGCCTTCAGGGTGGAGTGAACAAAGCTTGCATGACTATTCGTATTCTGCAGAAGACTCATCCTTTGCCTCAAGATTGGGTGTGCAGAAGCCATTAAATGGCAAATAGCTCTTGCTTCTTCCAGTGCACGGCTTGCTCCACTCAGCTCTGAACTGGGTTTGTCAGGATAACTCCTTACTGGGAGTATGTGCTGGGTGGTGTCAGTAGAAAGGTAGGCGTACTTCAGAACTGCCTGCTTAATGTGCTGGATACAGTCTGGAGACTGCAATGCTGAAACTGAAACTTGTTGGAGTTTGTTTTGTTTTTTTTTGATCTGAGTGTCTTGAAAATAATTGTGTCAAGCAGTTATAACCAGTAGTTCTTAACTCTGGCAATAAAAAGCCCATTACTGGGTATTACTTCAGAATCTTGCATATTGTTATTTGTATTTCCTGTGATAGTAGCCAGCGACTGGGTAATATCAGATTACCTTTATGTAAAGTAGCATTTAGAAAGAAGTGATCTTATGCCTGAAGAGAGCTAAAAACAGAACAACACGGGAAGAGGATCAGTGCAGAACACAACTGCAATACTGGTTCAGGTCATCTCATCTCAGAGCTGTGTCGGTTGTTCAGTGTTTTTTGCCATAGTTAAGAAAAGGAGTTGAGACTCTGGGAAATGGAAGAGATGGTGCGAGGGAAGAAGTCTTGGAGGGCACTGGCAGGGCCAGTGGGAGGGTAAAGTTTCAGTGACAAATCTGAGGAAGTGGTCAAATGGTTTAGAAATTTCTCTCATATGACATAGGTAACTCTGATGTAGAATACACTCCCTCCCCTTACTAACTTCCTGAGTGTTGCAGGAGGTGGTACCACAGCTGCTCAGCAAGATTAAGAAGCTCCTTGTTTTCCATCCTGCCGTGTTATTTAGGTGCGTCTTTTGCCTGTTGCTTCATCTAGAATATATGTGTGCATGCTTCTGCGTATGGTAGCTTTAGACAGCCAGGTGTGTTTTTTCTAACACTTCTGTAAATGTAAACTTGGATTTATCCACTGCAATCAACCATTTCCAATTGCCCAGGAGAGGCAACATTTAGATATCACTGTACACAAACATGTGCAATCTCCTATCCCTTCAAAGAACAAGAGGTGGGTTTCATAAAAACTATTCTATTGAAAGCTTTTTCCTAAGTGTCCATAATTGCCAGTGCCTCTGTGCGCAGGAATCCGTCGGTATATAGTCTATTTTGTTCATTGGAATTCAGGTTTTCACTTAGTTAAGGTTGTTAACATGCTCCTTTACATATGCAGAAAGCTATCAATTTTTTCCAGTCTTGCCTAAAAGCCTTGTTTCTAGCTAATCAGACACGAAGGTGTGAGCAATTTCTCACTCCTACTAATGCTGATGACTTTCTTCCTCCCCTCCCACTGTGTTTATATTAATCTAAAGTTCCTTGGCACAACTGACTCCCAGTGTCTGAACACCTGGTACCAACTCCTGTCGGCATTTGGGTGTTTTTAGGAACTGTATCTCTTGTTGATCAATATTTTCAATGAAAATGTTTTCTGAAGAAAACGAACGTGGGGTGGGGGAGTTTGTTATTCCTTGTGTGATAGCCTTGCTTCAAATTCCCAGCTCTGTCACACTGCTGCATTCTCCTCTGGTGGCTGATCGCTTTGTAGGGATCTTTGGCTCTGCAAAAAGGAAAAATTGAAATGTCTCTTCAGTTTTGACAGCACAGTCTAACAGCCAAGTGCACGTGTGTGCACATGTGTGTGCATGTCCCCTGCTGTAACAGCTATTGAAACTCCTGCCCAATTTCTCTTGACTGTGACAGAGGAAAGATAACATTTCCAAAATCTTCAGGAAAAAATGTCAGGCAAGACCAGAGTTCCTATACCTGCATCTTCAGCAGCTTCTGGTTCCCTGGACGGGCAGCAGAGTCTCTGTGGACGTGCAGTGCAGAGGTCTTGGATGCTGCGGGGAGAAAGGTGTCAGGAAAAGGAGGAGAAGTGCTCCTCTGCTCTGATACACGAGGTGCCCAGAAACATTTGCATGGTGCTGATTAAGCAGTCTCTCTGTAAGGCAGTCTGTTTGTGGATTATTTGTTTTCTTTTCAACCCCCTCCTTCCCCAGGGGGTGGGGAAGAAGATTAGCTTGAGTGTAGGGCTTAGGAAAAGGCATTGCAATGAAGAAGTTTCTTGTTGTCATAAATACTGATAGTCTTTTAAACTGTGCTTTGGGATAGTTGCATGTGGCTTGTTCAGGATTTTTAGCCTGGTTTCTAAGGAAACCATTTAATTTGCTCACTACTTCACTCCAATGAAGGTACCAGGAGACAGGGTAATGGCAATGGCTAGCAAACTGTTTTTAGTGAGGCAGTTGGAGGGGCGGGATCGCTGGTTTGTCGTCTTTTTTAAACTATGATAATTCACTTAAACTTTAAATGTGTGGGTAAGACTAAGCACCATCCTTTCACCTTCCATGCTCCAATGCATGCTTAAAACCAGCAAAGAATCAAAATCAAGTTAGCTTCAAAGTGTATTGTGTTGGCACAGAGGCTTTCCTTTCTTTGCTGTGAAAGAAGGGTTCGTTAATTCGGGTGAAAAATTTCACCTCACAACAAGATAACAGTTAAACTTCAAAAACTATTTAAAGAATAATCTGTTTTGTAACAGTGACTTGCAGTCATCCCACAAATAAGAGGGAATTTCAATTCAAATTTATTTCACAGTGAAATTTGTGCTGCCTCCCCTGTTGATGAGATGACAGGAGAAAGCTGGCACACGGTGTCTGTTTCTAACAGAAGCTGCTGCTCTCTTCCCTGCCCTTCGTGTGGCATCTGCCAACTCAGTAATGTGCTCAGCTCTAGGTGGAGCAAACATTTTTTCTTTTCAGAGGAACCTTGTTATCTTGGACTGAGAAGCAACTTTTGAGCACCAAAATGCAGACTCTTTTAAGCACTTGAAATGTGTTTAATGTAGTTTTGTGGGAGTGTGGGCAAATAATTGGTGCATTTGACTGTTTTGAATGTCTTGCATTACTGTACTGCCATGCCAGGATAGATTTTATTTAGGAAACTCTTCCACTTTTGTTCTGAAGTCTTGATGCAAAGTGATAAAAATCAAAAAAGTAACTCCTATTCCCAAACTGCTTTATATTTCACTTCTTGTTTTGCATTTGTTTTTTTTACCCTACACTCTTCAAAGAAGATGTGGGTAGAAAAGAACTTTTTAAAAATTGGTTTTAGAAATGTTGGAGTAGAGTTGCAAGTAATCTTACAGTCCAGCTTGGCGTTAGAGAGAGGTAAATATGGCAGGAAGTGGGAGAGATACCATAATAAACTCTATTTGAAATTGTGTGAAAAAAGACAGTATGTGCAACTTAAATTAGACTATCTTTATGAACATGAGGGTTTTTACCTGGTCATTCTATGGCCTGTCTTTCCAGGATGTAATGCTTCCTGATCTCTATTGGCAGGAGAGCTGATCCTTGCTATCATGTTCCATAATCCTACAGACTCAAGAAGACAAGGGCTGTGGGACTCTGTTTTGTCTCTTAGTTATCCACAATGGTGTGTTATTACTAGATTCTCAAAATGCTTCTGTGTAACAGCAAAAAAACCCTCAGGCTGTAACTTCTAATAGGCAAGGTTTAGACTAGATGCCATTTGTAAATTTTGTCCAGTGGTGAGTAAGGATTTATTCTACTTTGTGATTTACTTGTTCAGAAAGCATATGGTATATCCTGCTTTTTCTGGAGCTTCTGGTTGATGGCTTGCTTCTCCCTCCCCAGATCTTCCCCTAGAGATAGAAGGAGATGTTAATTAAAGAGGACAGGACTTCAGTCTCTTCTGCATGCAGAAGTGTATCTGTCAAACATAAATAATTCATGACTATATTAAATATATATGTCCTTATTATGGGGTCTCATGTCCCCAGATGCTTTCTGGAGTGACCTCACTCTCCCGCAGGTGGCAGTAGTTGGAAGCCAAGGCAGAACAACTAATGTATCCCAGCAGGAAAAGGGATTAAATCTTCCCCTGAGAAGTGATTTGCCATCCTGGATAACATGAAAGCTAGTTGCTCTAGCAGTAAGCCAATTAGAAATCTGTTTGGTGATGATTGACTTAACTCCAGCATAAAGATTTAAATCTTGACAAGAACAGTCCAGCATTTCCCTATGGAGCCTCTCAAGTTGAAGATATGGGGAATATTATTTTAACACTAATATCTGAACCATACAGTAAGTGATTGCGACGAGCAAGTTTTCTGTATTGCTTGCTTGGTTTTTTTTACTGCCTTTCTTGTACACTGAGCAAAAACAAGATAACTTGTACTGTGTTTCATAGATCACAGATTTGCAGATCCAGAAAGAGTGAACTACAAATTTGAAAGTGGGCCTTGGTAAGTACCTCCTCTCTCTTCTTGCTATGCCCCCCGCCTTTTTTCTTTCAAGATACCGCTTAGATAAGATGTACTTCTCTGTAATCCTAATTTGCAAATAGCTGTTACCATTATATCTATTTATCTTCCCGCTACTGTGGGAATAAATTAGATGCTTGAAGTGGGAAAGGGAACAGATATTCTATACTCAGATGCAAGTCAGTTTTCTTGCTAGGCTTCAGTATTGCCTCTTAGCGGCTGGTATTTCTGGGTTCTGCTAATAAATGCTTATAATTGGTGTTAAGTGTGCTGTGCTATTAACAACAAACGTAAGTATTTTTGTAGAAGTAACCCTATTGGTACGAACTCTTATGTTTCCTGCAATCTGTTTTGCAGTTACTTGAATACACATAATTATTATTTCTTTTCTATAGGGAAGAAACATTTCCATAAAGATACTTTGCCAAAGATGCTATGCTACCAGTCAATTGCTTAAGCTGTTGTTATTGTCATCTTCCCAAATATGTTTTAAACAAAGCTCTGTATACTTTTGATGACTGTTTTGTGTGGGGTTTTTTGTTTTTTTGTTTTTTTTTTTGTTAATGTAAGCATGCTTTTATTTGTGCAAATACAGATTTTTCTCGGTGGTTTGCTGGGTACTCCTTCTGCAGTTTCACAAGAGACTGGTGTTAATCTGACCTTATTTATATTCCTGTCTCGTACCAATACTTACTTCCCTCTTGGAGATTAAGGAACTGTCATAATAGTAGATGATGCTTGCACTTTTGAGCCAAAATAATGCAACAATATTGGCAGAAAGTATCCAGTGAGATTAGTTCAGGGTTATGTTTTAGCATTGTTCTAAACTTTTTCCCTTTCACTAGCAAAATCCTGGGATGAGGTAGAAGATGCTCATCTGACTTGTGATAGTGAGAAGTACAGAATCAGGAGGCAGGAGGGAACAGTTTGGGACAGACACCTACGTATGGAAAGCCCACCTGAGAAATTAAAATATAAGCGAGAAACATGACCCTCCTACAACAGGGCATACCACTACCCTTTTGTATGGCTGCTGAACAACACTTCATCCATTCAATCAATCCCGTAGTCTTTTCTATGCAAAAACCTGTCCTTGCAATAGCCAGAAAGGCAGCCTTGTGTAGCTGTAAGCGTTGTGTTCTACATGGCACTTTTAACCTGTAAGAGAACAAAAGAGACTTCGGTAATGACCAATTAAACCTGGCTTTCTGTGGCTGAGCTATTCCCATGCTAAGCAGCTAATGTAGCCTGTAGCTATATTAGTCTCTAGGAGCACAGCGATGGCCTGAACAAGCAATGTTAAACCTAAACTCTGAGCAGGAGTCTGTGTGCTGAGTATAGCCCTGAACATATTTGGTCTTAGATTGTAACCGAGGTTAGTGCTTATTATTTGTACTGCGACAGTGTGTAAAAGCCAGTCACAAGCCAACTGCTCTGTTTCAATTTCCATGTAGCTACCATTAGAACAGCAAGTTTAGTTTTATCCCAGTAACCCTGTTCAGACAATGGAGAAGCACAAACCATTGCTATGTCAGGAGTGGGGAGTAAATTGAAAACACGCTCAGAGAGCAAATGTGGTGAAGCAGGAAAGGGGAGCTGGGAAAGGGGTGGCTTAACAGAGCCGATGTTCCCTGAGGTGACATGTGCAGTGGCTTTGGATGGTGGTGGCACTTAGCCCATGCCGCCCTGGCAGTGCCATCCAGCAGACACGGAGCAGGGACAGAAGCTTGTCCCTGGAGCACAGGTGACAAGCAGGGAGGGTGGTGTGTGGTGGGTACTACAGGCAGATATCTCTGCATTACTCCCTCTTTCTGTGCCTGCAGCAGCAAGATGGAACTTGTGGATGACAATGCTGTTATCCGAGCAAGAGGATTGCCGTGGCAGTCATCTGACCAGGACATAGCGAGATTCTTCAAAGGCTTGAATATTGCCAAGTTAGTAGCTAAGAATTTACCTCTACATTTGTAGTGCTTTGTCTGTGTCAGTCATGGAGTTTTATTTCTCTTGATTTAAATCCTGCAGGGGTGGTGCTGCACTCTGTCTCAATGCCCAAGGTAGGAGGAATGGGGAGGCTCTTGTGAGGTTCGTAAGCGAAGAGCATAGAGATCTAGCGCTACAAAGGCACAAGCATCACATGGGGAATCGATACATTGAGGTGCGTGACACTGGCTTTGAAATCCTCTTCTCAACAGAAGTGCTAATAATATGTCAATCACACTCTTTTCTTTCCCTAGGTATACAAGGCAACAGGTGAAGACTTCCTTAAAATTGCAGGAGGTAATTTTTAGGGGGTGAGAAGGGAGGGTTTGTTCCATCAGTATCTGTAACTAACTTTTTGCTATAAACTGCTCCTGTTGGATATGGTCTTTCATTTTCTTTCTTTGAGCAAATAGTAATCAACACATCAGCCAACTATGTACTCTGCTAGCAGCAGTCCAAGACTTTCTGTTATTTCTGTCCATCTTTCTCTTCCATATTCTCACTGTTTTCAAAGAGCCTATCAAATAAGGATTTGATCAGGCCAGGTGATCTTGCATAGGAACATAATTTGTTAGGTCATCTTCTTAGCTGAAGGGACCTAAATGTTATTGGCTGTTGATAAACAAAACCAGAGTAGTTTTGTCAAAACAGTATAACTGCTGTTGCTCTAGAGACTTGTATGTAAAAGCACACAGATACCGCAGTGTAAATAACAAGGGATTTATGGAACTGATTTTCTTCAAGTCGAATCTTTGCCTCAGACTAAAGGGGGAATGCTTATTTAAAGGGAATATTTCAATATTTGCAGCGTTGAATTGGAAGGCTGCAAAACTTGCTCTACAAACTCTCCCATGGTCTCTTTTCCTCCCTTTTATGACTACAAGCATACAGGCTTTGAGTTAAATAAGCTGTTTATGTAACTGCAATACTACCTTAAGGTCCTTGTTGGTTTCTGACAAAGATTTGGTCTGGGGATTGTAAATGACTAACGGGATGTCTGAGTTTGAGGTTTTAGAGTGGGAGAGGCTATTAAGCTGTCAAATAAATAGCTAATTGATAGCTTGGTAATCGTTATACCATTCAAAGTAAAGACATTGCACACTGACGCTGGGGGAAAAATGGTGTGTGTCTGGCACCACCAAAATTCTTAGCTGAATGAGCTAACTGTAAGTGAAAGGACCACTTTAAGATGTGAAGTTCGCTAGCAGCTAGCTTTGGTTAGGGTAGCATTATAAGTATGAGCATCAGTGGTCTTCTCCTAGAGATACTGAAAGTAGAATTGGTGGACTTTGACAGTCCTACCAGGATAGGATGACATTCCTGAGCTGTTTTCAACATGCCCTTCCAACTTGCTTTCCCAGCATAATGGGCTGGGTACTTAGTTACTATATATTGTAGCTTCAGAGCATGCCAAAGGTATTCATAAGCTAGAAAGGTGAGGTGAACGGTAGCGCAGATACTGTTTGTGCAAGAGATTCACAGACTATTTTCCTTGGGCTCTGAAGATTGGAAGTTCTTTCTATTTTCCTTTTGAATAAGGATGACTCTTCCAAGAGATGGAGTAACATTGTTAGACTTTAATGCGAAGTGTCCTGTACCATCTTCCTAGTTAATCAAAGTAGGACATCTCTTCCTGACTTTGGAGGCAAATGTTGTTCTACCTGCTCAAAAACTGTCTGTAGGGAGGAGGAGGTAGCTATGTCAGACTTGCTCGTGATTTTATGTGGCTGCATAGACTTAAGTGCTCCTGTACTTCTTTTTGTTGAAGGCACTTCCAACGAGGTTGCACAGTTCTTGTCGAAAGAAAACCAAGTGATTGTGAGGATGCGAGGTCTTCCTTTCAACGTAACAACAGAAGAAGTGCTGACATTCTTTGGCCAGCACTGCCCAGTAACAGGAGGAAAGGAAGGAGTCCTGTTTGTCACATACCCTGACAGCAGACCAACAGGGGATGCCTTTGTGTTGTTTGCTTGTGAGGAATATGCACAAAATGCACTGAAAAAGCATAAGGACTTGCTGGGGAAAAGGTACATTGAACTCTTCAGGAGCACAGCAGCCGAAGTCCAACAGGTTGTAACTATTGTCTACGAGACTCAAACTTCTCTTCTCTTCTCTCTTGACTGTTGCTGGAAAGAGCACTGTCTGCATTTCCATGAGGTTTTAGACCCTCTAAATATAAGAACTTGAAGTATATGGATGTTCTCAATCATATATACAAACCTTTGGGATTTTAGCTTCCACTAGCCTTGCAAACGGCAGTTATAGCAGAAAGTTTATGTGGGTCTAGGGCTTTACACTGCAGATACTGCATTTGTCTAATGATGGTGTATTCAGGAGGAGCATTAGCAACAAATCTTGATCTAAAAGACTTATCTTCAGTCATTGGCACGGAAAAGCAGAAACTTTTGAGGTAGTTGTCTTCAGAGCAATTTATCTGAAGAGTCTTACAAATTGCCTCTAAAGGCAGGTCTCGGCCATCTTATGCCAGCACTGGCTACCTAGCAGAGAATGGTAGGACTTTGTGAAACTGGGCCTGAAGAGTGCCCCCTCTTGCATTGCCATGGCTTAATGGACCATTAATTGCAGTTATGCTGTCAGGGAAAGGAAGTAGGGCTGAGAAGATTGTGTATGTATGTCTCCAAAGATTTGTAGAGCTTCAGTTGAGGTCAGTAACTTCTAGAGGTGATTCTAAAAGGTCTCATCTATGATGCAAATTATGGCCAACCAATAACCATGTCATTGTAACCAAGCAATGGCGCAACTCTGATCCCCCAGATATGTAGAGATTTTCGTGCTTCGTTTGAAGGACGGCACTGATGATGAGAAGGCATAGCTGCAACACTCACTCTTGTCATTGTGTTTTTATCAAGCGCTTTCATAAGTTTGTGTTTAGCACAACCTTCTGATAACTGTATAAATGTAAATGAATCTTAATCCTGCTCAGCAAAAGTTAGAGTAGTAATTGAATATTCGGTGAAGTCTTGACCAGGCAGGGTTTTTACTGTTAAAATTAGTAATAAGAAATCTCAAAGCATGACTCTGTTACAGATACTGTGACTCAATAACACCACCTATGTTACGTGATGGACTATTGCATCTGAAGTTAGGTATGTTTGGAAGTGAAATACATTTCTACTTCCCAGACTCTCGTACCGTTTTGCAGAGGAGATATTTTTAGATAGGAGTGTAACCCACGACTCTTTAGATGGTAGAATGCTTCAGGATATTTTCTCAATAAAAATACTGTAGAAGTACAAGTTTCATGTTCTAAGAGGTCTTCTGAAAGTTGTGCAAGAGTTCAAGTAAATTATCCAAAATGAAATGATGTTTTTCAAGATAGAATGATCCAAAGATTTACTTTAAAACATCTGAATTTTAAGCACTACAGCTGTGGTTGAAGCCCAGAATCTAGCTCGCTTCTTTCTTAAAATACTGTCCAGAGTGAAAACAGATAGCATTGGTGTTACTACGTTCAGTTCCTCTGAGTTGTAGAATGAGTGAGGAGGCTTTCTGTAACCTCTGTTTTCCTGGTTTGCACAGGTGCTGAACAGGTACTCTTCCACGCCTCTCATTCCTCTCCCAACACCTCCCATTCTTCCAGTATTACCTCAACAATTTGTGCCTCCCACTAACGTCAGAGACTGCATACGTTTGCGTGGTCTTCCCTATGCTGCTACTATAGAGGACATCCTGGAGTTCTTGGGGGAGTTTTCCACAGATATTCGGACCCATGGAGTTCACATGGTACTAAATCACCAGGTTGGTAGGCACCACGTTTCTAGCCAGTCTGTGCCAACTGGCTGGATATGCGAACATGGTCTTTCTGATGGTTTCATTAGGGAAGCACTTCTGGGGTCGACACTAATGGTGTTAATTGGCCTCCAGCTCTCCTCTATAAGTGTCCTGGTAACAAATGAGTTGGCTTATCTGAACTCTGCTGCAGCATTTGCTGCAGAGTGATTTCTGCTACTGAGACCTGTGTGCCTAAATCTAAGCCACAGTTTTGGGTAGGGTTGGTGTTCCCAGAGCTGCTGCAGCTGTGGTCCTGCACTGTAGAAGGCTTGAACTGAAGAGTCTTGCTCAACAGCATGCATAATTCCTCTTGTACCAGGCGAGGACTATCTTCAAAACAAAAGTGTGGGCAGTGCTAGTTCTCAGAGGAGTGATTTGCCCTTGCCTTGCTGAACAATGTGCCTCAGGTATATTTGAGGACATACGTGACTGCGGCATGCTAGAGACAGGATTTCCTATGCCATAAGTCAGCAGCTGAAGTTTCGGGCTTCCTGAACTGTGTGGTTGCTTTCTCTAAACAGTCACAGCTAAGCACCAAGATTAACAGCTCATTGACATGAATAAACAGTCACGTCTTTGCCATTGTTTTCTGGAAGCAGTTTCTACCAAAACTTTCTAGACAAAGGATTGTGCGTTGTTGTGCTCGCCTTTATCTGCATAGTCTTGTGACTTTCGGGGGAGGAGAGGCTCCTCTAACTCTATGGAGATGCCCTGAGTAGTTGCACTGATTACACTGATTATTGTGGTATAAAAAGGGTTCTTCTAAAATTGTTTTTGTTGACACTAAGCCTAAACTGAAACTACAAAATATTTCCTTGTCCTGGAGTGGGGCTTCTGTGTTTTGGAGGTGTGAGGAGGGAGAAGGGACTGTAGTTATTCCAGTACCTCTCTATCTAAAGAGATTTCTGTGTCTGTGAGGACTTGACCTAGTCAAGGCTGAAAAACTAAAGAATGTGCAAGCCTAGGAGAGGCAAAGAAATTATGTAAATGTTAAAGCGCAAGTAATGGTTTACAGTAGAATCAGCCCTTGCCACCAGCAGTAAGAAAAGAACCTGGAGAAAGAAATTGGTGTATGTATGTAGCCCTGATAGCTCTCTGCCAGCCTGGCCCAAAGCTGTTGGATTTTTTTTTTTTTCCAGATACTGCTTTTTCCTGACTACTAGATTTTTATCTTTCTGCACGCTCTCCCTACTCCCACTATTCCTGGTTTCAACCCTCTAATTATGACCATCTGTGTAAAGGATGGTGATAAAGTTGTTCTTCCCTCTGAAACTAGAAAAACTGGCCCAGGACTTAAGTTAGAGCTGGCTTCAGATCTCTACCTGTAGTTTTGGCTGATTTAAGTCAGCAGCTGCTTCTGGCTAAAATGACTGCTCCCAGTTACATATCCCACTCGCTTATAGCTGTATATAAGGACGTCATCTTTTTTTTTTCTCCACAAGCTCATACTAAGCCTTAGGATACTACCCTTCTAAAACATCCCAGCTCACATTTGCCTTAGCAAAAATAATTTTTAAAAAATTATTTAATATTTGGCACTTGACTGTATTTGTCCTTGAATTTTAAAAAGCACACATAACAAACGTGGATTAGATCTTTCAGTTCTGCACTCTTACTAAATAGGTACCCAGAGACCTGCTCTTGCCAGAGTACCCTGAATGTAGTCTCTCCCATAGGTGTCCTATTTTTTTTAAAGATAGAAGTAACATGGCTTAAGTTACAATGTAGCTTAATTGAAACAGGTAAATAAATGTATGCAAGTTAGCACAAGTTGGCAGAATGCCCATATGATGCAGCGGGCAGACTAGGATTCTTCAGCAATAGGGGGTGAAACTTTAGGGAGGAGAGCTTAAACATGGTGATGGGTGCTAGGGATGACTTGACTGTACTTGACTTTGGAGATGAATATATTTATGGCTGAAGAGACTGCTTTTAACAACACAGGTTATTGCTATGCTGCTACTTCGTTGGAGCTCCAGAAATATTTCGTTTTGTCTGCCTTGTTTGTAGGGACGTCCATCGGGAGATGCCTTTATTCAGATGAAATCTGCAGACCGAGCTTTTCTGGCTGCGCAGAAGTGTCATAAGAAGACTATGAAGGACAGATATGTTGAAGTCTTTCAATGTTCTGCTGAGGAGATGAACTTTGTATTAATGGGGGGCACTTTAAATCGAAATGGCTTGTCCCCGCCACCATGTAAGTTACCATGTAAGTTTTGCATGGGTCTTGCCAATACTCTACGCTATGTGCGGGTAGGTGTTGGAGCTGCTTTCTTGACTGTGATTCTGATTCTTGGAAAGGAGTGCTAGATTTCATCTTAAATCATCAGCAGCTTGCAATCATTATTTTTCCCTTTGGTTGTGAATTACTATGACTGAAGAATCACTTTAAAATTACTCTGGCTTTTCCAGTGGCAAACTTCCCCTCCTCTCTCTGAAACTTGACTTCGCCAGAGTGAGCCATGACTCTGGGAAGTAATTTGTAAGCCCTGACTAGAGCTTAAAGAACAATTTCCCATTTAAATTAATTTGTATGTACATTTCACATCATGATGAACATGTCAAGTAAAAGCCCTTCCCCTTTCACTTCCAAAACTTAACTCAGGAAACAACTGGTAATGGTATTCATTGGGACTTAACTACATGTGTTCTGCCTATTGAATCCCTACTGAACTCTCCCTTTGCTTTTTGCTGTTCATACAGAATTGAGATTGCCCATGTGGGAGTAAAATGCACATAGCTTTGGTCTCAGAATTGCAGAAACTGTATTTCATGTAAAGTTAAGTGCTTCGGTGCTACTAGGATGAACATGGACTTCTAGACAAATGTTTGTGGGAAATGCTTCAAGAGCTCAAGGGCTAACTTACTAAGCATATGTGCCATATAAATCTGAGCCTATGGGAAAAATAATACTTTGCTTCCAAGATCATAAATGGCAAGGTAGTCAAGTAGGAGCTTTCTCTCTGTCTCTATGCAAATGTATTATTGTTGTTGTTGGCTTTTTTAAGAAGTGCCCTCTAAATCCTAGTCAGAGCTGCCAACATGGCAGCAAACTTCTTGGGTGTGGCTCATTTTGAGTGTGAATAGACCTTTAGCTAATCCTTAGGAGATAAGTTTTCCAGGTACCTAGATTTCTTTTTTTTTTTTGCAAAGCAAGTATCTGCAGTATGTAGTCCTATGTGACAGCTGTTACAGACAGGGGTTGGAAGCCTCTCCTGAGAGCCCCTAGGATGGGTTCTTGGGCAGAGCCCCAAACTTGAGCACTCTTTGGTTGGTAGTGTTCCCATTTCCAACTACAAATGCTAGCGATATATTAGCCCTTTCGGCTGTCACTGCCCCATCCCAAAGTGTCACTTTAAAGTAAGCCTCTGTTTTTGCTATTCAGAGTTATTGATAAAGCTTTTACGTGCTCACTCTTATGGCACTGAGGAGGGGAAAAGGGAAGAAAAGAGAGTGGTGAAGTAGGAGGGTGAACTGTCATCAGTGAGAATCCGTTTAGGGCCTTGCATCTTGTTGAAACACCGCAAAGTGCACTTTTGTTTTTAAAATTCATTGTTAACACTTGAAGCTGCAGAGCCATGACTTTTTCTCACTCTGCTGTTGGTTAAATGAAGACAGAGCTGTTTGGAGGATAGGGAGTGTCAGGATGAGAAGGTGTCCCTTGCTCTGGGCAATGTTAGGCAGATCTTTAGCACAGAAGTTTCCTTCTTGTAGTGGAGAAGTCTCACAAGCCTTGATTGGAGACTTCGTTAAGTCTGAGCCTCGACAAGAAAAACTGGTCTCCTCTACAGAAAGAGACCCTATTCCCAAAGTGAGAGATGACTTTTTGTGTATTACTGACTTTGCTTTTGACTGGGGGAGTGGGCACAACACTTGTACTCAGGCTTACATTGGTGGCTCAGATTTATTTTCTGTGATGAGCAAGAGAATGAGAAGCTTGTGAAGGCTCTTAACTTACCACAGAGTTGTTCAGCTAATTAAGACATATATATGCTGGAATTCAAAAGGTCTTAATCTACTTTCCATTTGTTCCCTTTAGGCCTTTCACCCCCATCCTACTCCTTTCCGGCTCCTGCTGCAGTTGTGCCAACAGAAGCTGCTCTGTATCAGCCATCCGTGCTCCTGAACCCACGAACGCTCCAGCCCTCCACAGCGTACTACCCTGCTGGGGCTCAGCTCTTCATGAACTACACAGCATACTACCCCAGGTAAAGCAGAAGAGAAACCAAGCAGGAACAAAGAAGTCTTTTTTTTGGAGCAAATGCACAAAGCTCTGAAAAGAACATTGTCTGCTGTGCTAAAAGCTTGTGCTACCAAGAACAGCTTATTTGGTATCTTGTTCAGGGAAACAATTTAGGGATATCTAGGGATTTCCCAAGTTTTAGAGTATTTCAGGTAGTGTTGATTTCTTTTTCATTTTTTTTTTTTAAAAAAACAACACCATAACTCACACAGTTACAGTGGGATTTTTGTTTTGAGTTGTTTTTTTTTTTTTCTTCACTTAACATGCCTCTTAAATTTGTTAGCTTACATTGTTGTGCCCTCAGTGGGAAATAGTGTGTGCAGCACTCCTTCCCATGTCTGTAAAGAATCCCTTGGCCCTTCTTTAGAACAGGTGGATCAGTTCTGCCCTAACATCTTCTGAAATTCTGCATCTGTTTTTTTAATAAAGTAACTTTTGACCTTTATGGTGAAAACTGTTTACTAATTTATAAAAAGTACTGCATTGAAACATATGTATTGAATGCGTATGTAAAGCATATAGAGGCATATATTTTTCCTGACCTCATAAACATCTCTCACAAAGGGCTTTTGGCTTTTCTGGATGTATTAGCTATTTTCTACAGAACAAAAGCTTTCGATACTATTTGCCCTTTGCAGTCATGGAGCCTTGGAAAGAGCCATGTTCGCTGTAAGCCATAAACCACTCCTCATTTGTCAGGAAACCTGCTAAAGAACTCAAGTCTTCCATTAGATTATGACCAGTGCTTTTTATCCCTGGAGAAGGGTCCAAATAGCTACTTACGATGTTGTTGAGCAATATGGACTCTCTAGTACCTGTAAGATAACAAAGTTTTTCTTACTACTTTACACTAAACCACTATGTCTGTGAGCTGCCTGTTGTGTTTTTTATTAAAATGTTTTCTTCACTCGTGAGTTAATTTCTATAATGCTTGCAATGTCTGTCTTATAGTTATGATAATATGTTACCAAACTCAGCAACTTGAATGTAAGATCAAGAAAAATAAAATTCCAAACTTGCATTGGCAATATAAAACAAGTTTCTCAATAGTTCTGTATGTCATGAGAACACAGTAGCAGTAATAGTTCGTAGTGACTTTGACATGTTGTACTTCTTGAAGTAATGATAGACTGGCCACTGCAGGCTAAGTGTCTGGCCCTATAGAGGTCTCTCACTGAATGGGATTCCGCAAGAGTCCCATCACTGGCTGCTTGGGCAGTAGGCATGTATGTTGGTTACAGGCCGATGAATCCTGAGTCCCAAAATATCTTTTTTATGTTCTTTTCTAACAGTTGTATACTATTCTTAGGAATCCATTCTGTGGATTCCAATCCTTCTGTGCCAATTACAAGTACCTCTCCTTAAAAAAAAAAAAAAAAAAAAAAAAAAAAAAAAAAAAAAAAAAAAAAAAAAAAAAAAAAAAAAAAAAAAAAAAAAAAAAAAAAAAAAAAAAAAAAAAAAAAAAAAAAAAGTTAAATTTGTGAAGTCAACTTGTTCTCTTTCCTTTTTGTGAGTTCTGGTGTTTGGATGTTGGTTTTCTATCCGGAGTAAATGTTTGATCTACAGACAAATAGTATATACTTCAATAGGAGGAGTGATTCTTTGTAGTTGACATTTGAGTTAATTTTTTTCTTCCAAAAAATTAAGCTTTATTGCTTTTCAGGCAAGTTCCTGTACTTTGTAAAGGATGCAATAAGAAATTGGGTCCCTTTCACGTAGCAGTCGGAACTCTCTTAAATGGAGTTTTCTGGTTCTGAAATGTAATTAAAAAAAGTTAAGTATGTGCAGCAGGAAAGAAGGGGAAATCCTCTGTACTAAGTGGTGCATTTAAATGCATGTACATGGAAAAGCAATAGAGAGCTGGTTGCTAATGATCAGACAATGGTTCATAAATCTAACTAGTGAATACTTATGGAAATAAGGAAAATTTCTTTGACCTGCTGCCAAAAGGTTCTACTGCTTGTGTTTTGCAAGGTCAAGTTGCTTTATAATAGACAATTCTGTTCTCCGCACAGTAATCAACCTAGGTGTGGGGGGGAGTGAGGCATTGCGTTGGACTTCAGTAGCTATCAGAAATACCCAAAACTTAGACTCGTCTTAATGCTCTTATAGCTTTGGTGATGAAACCTGATGATGTAAAGAGATGGATGCCTTCAATGCTATTTAAATAGCTTTAGTGAAGTCCTAATGAAAAGGAGGGAGAGCAAGTTATTCAGGATCTGTCAGTCTTTGATATCTGTGTCCCACATGTAATTATATCTGGCAACATGTTCTGACATCAAATCAGTGGTCTCAGTCTCTACCTAGTCCCAGGCTTTTGAGAAAGAACAGGATTCATGGGAGGGAGGTGTTTCTTTCCTTATCTAATCCTGGATAAATAGATGTGTTAGTTGCTGTATGCATGTACATTGAAAGTAATAAATAACTGCACTACTCGGCAACTGCTAACATGTGCTGTAGAAACTTTTACCATAAACAAACTTGAAAGTTACTGCTATGGGATATGTAGTTTTAAAACAGAGTTAAATCTTACTGTATTTATTCAGTTCTAATGCCATTTTGATCACTTTTAAGCAGTGTCTAAAACCTCGAAAGATTCTGTCAAAATCCAGAATTGTAGGAATACACTTCAACTTTGTTCTTTTCTTTAATAATATTTTGAACAGTGAGGTGGAAAGAGGAGCTTCTTACTCAGTGAGTAGTATGCTGGTGGGGCTAGTAGCCAAAAAAGTAATGTAGAACCTGAAAACTGATGTGGGTTCAAACAAACTAGATGAATTCAAGGGCAGGAAATTCATTGTGAGTTAGTGAATACATAGAAACCACATCTGGCTCAGGAAGTCCTTGAGCTCAAAATAACTGGAAGAGTGTTCTTGTGTTCTGTGTCCTACGGTAAACTCCTGTGCTATTGAACCAGGGTGGGTAGGTGAAGTTGTTTGTTTGCATTTCTGAAGTAGTATTTGTCTTCAGTGATACTGGTACTGCTTGTGAGCATGGGTCCAGTGTGTTTGTAGTTGTATTCAGCTATGCTAGTCTAATAGTAGCTAAGTATGGGTTATCTCCCTGTTTCCAACAGTGCTCTCCTGGAGAAACTGGCTGCTCATGGCTTGGACAGGTGCACTCTTTGGGCTCAGCCATCCAGCCATTTTTTTACCCAAAGAGCAGTGGCGAAGGGAGTTAAATCCAGTTGGTGGCTGGTCACAAGTAGTGTTCCCCAGGGCTCGGAACTGGAGCCAGTTCTGTTTAATATCTCTATCAATGATCTGGACAAGGGGATTGAGTGTACCCTCAATAAGTTTGCAGATGACACCAAGTTGGGTGGGAGTGCCAATCTGCTCAACGGTAGGAAGGTTCTGCAGAGGCATCTGGACAGGCTGGATGGATGGGCCGAGGTCAATTGTGTGAGACTCAACAAGGCTGAGCGCTGCTGGCTCCTGCACTTGGGTCACAACAACCCCATGCAATGCTACAAGCTTGGGGAGGAGTGGCTGGAAAGCTGCCCAGCGGAAAAGGACCTGGGGATGCTGGTCGACAGCTGGCTGAACATGAGCCAGCAGTGTGCCCAGGTGGCCAAGAAGGCCAACAGCATCCTGGCTTGTATCAGGAGTAGTGTGGCCAGCAGGAGCAGGGAGGTGATTGTGCCCCTGCACTCAGCACTGGTGAGGCCACACCTGGAGTACTGTGTGCAGTTTTGGGCCCCTCACTACAAGAAGGACATTGAGGTGCTGGAGCTTGTCCAGAGAAGGGCAATGAGGCTGGTGAGGGGTCTGGAGAACAAGTCCTATGAGGAGAGGCTGAGGGAGTTGAGGCTGTTTAGTCGGGCTTATTGCTCTCTACAACTACCTGAAAGGAGGTTGTAGTGAGGCGGGTGTTGGTCTCTTCTTCCAGGTAACTAGTGATAGAAGGAGGGGCAATGGCCTCAAGCTGCATCAAGAGAGGTTTAGACTGGAGAGTAGGAAAAAATTCTTCACTGAAAGGGTTATCAAGCATTGGAACAGGCTGCCCAGGGAAGTGGCTGAGTTGCCATTCCTGGAGGTACGTAAAAGACATGTAGATGCAGTGTTTAGGAACATGGTTTAGTGGTGGACTTAGCAGTGTTAGGTTTACAGTTGGACTCAATTATCTTAAGAGTCTCTTCCAACCTAAATGATTTATGATTGTATGTACAGCACTCTCCATATGAGTGATTTGAATTAAAAGGTCTTTTTATGGGGTAGTTAAAGGCATGATTCTGACACTTGCTGCACAAGGACATACAGAGTGATTTGTTATTCTCATCTGTCTGCTGCTGCCTCTTCTTGCTATGGATTAGGTATGTTTTTTTTCTCATCTATACACTAACCAACTTGTAGAAGTTTTTTAATAGATATTTTATATACATATACAACCTATGTTAATGCTATGTCTATGCATACATACGTAAAAAGAGTGTATAAAAATAAAATGACCAAGGTTAGAAAAAAGCCTCACTTACTCTCCACAGTGTTCATTATGGAGGACATGATCCATCGTGTAAAACAAGTGAGGCTTTTTTCTAGCCTTGGTCATTGATCAGATGCATGTTGAAGCACAATTAAATTACAACCAGTTTAAACTGGCACAACTAGGAACAAGTGGGCTGGATTAGGAGTGATATCATTCAGAGCTGCTGCCAGCAGCTTTATTTGCATATCTGTGTGTCTGGCTAACCAGCATCACTTGACAGAACTGGGTTAGGAAACAACCATATGCGTATTTTGCCTGGGAGATCTGTCACAGATGGAAAACAGCAGCAGTGAGAAACAAAACCTCTTAATCAGCTTGTACTTATAGCATCACAGCAACACTCTGGACCACAGCTCTTACTGTAGTACACTTCTTTATGAGTATGTCAGCTTGGATTGCATGAGATCACATCTGCAGTGAATGGGCTCACCAAGCACAAAAGCCCGCTGGTGGCTTTTAGATGCTGTCCAGCAAACAGTTCACATACTTACATCAAGTGGCAGAATCTGGGACTCTTACCTATCCTTGCTCGTGGTGAGCTGGTATCCATCATGGATTTGTCAAAATAACCTCAACTCTTGAGTTAGTGGCACAAAAGTCAGTGATTGTTTTGGGAAGAAGCCTTAATGATTCACTCTTCTAAGTGAAGGTAGCTTGCCAAAGATTAGAACAGTAGGT